CAAGGCGATCTTGGCCGGCGAGTACGACGACTTGCCGGAAGCCGCGTTTTTCATGGTCGGTGGCATCGAAGAAGTCAAAGAAAAGGCCAAGGCCCTCGCCGCCGAATTGGAAGACTAAGCGCCGAGTCGATAGGAAGGAAAGGTTCGCCACGAGAGAAACAGAAGGCAGGTTAAGAATGCTGCTGTGTCTAAACGAGCGAGTGTAGTCACGTGTTGTTCTCAGTGTGCTGAGACTCGAACGACCTCTTGAAACGAATTTGTGACTCAAGCACACTGTTTCCAGTCGAAGCGGTGGTAGCGACCAGATCCCCAGTTGCTCAGTGCCCATGATCTGTCTTCTCCCGTGATGCTGGTGTACTGTACAGGTAGTCGTGGCGTTGCAGTTGGCCGCGTGATTGCGCATTTCGCGAACCAGCCGCGGGTATAATGCGGACACGGGTGAACACGGCACACGGGGAGAACGACGAGGATGGTTCACGTCACAGGGCGACGTTGGCGGAGCAGGGTCGTTTGTGATGTATACAAGGGTAGCCAAGAGTCACAGCGATGCGCTTCGTGCAGGCAGCTAGGAGTGCGCCATCATGACCACAGTCGCGGAAATCGGACAACACCGCTCGGAGCACAGGATGATTGCCGACGACTTGATGGTGTCGCACTAAGTTGAAAAAACCGCACTCGATCAATGGTTTTTCCAATAAAACGTTCCTGATGGAGTGCCCAATTTATCGCACAAAACCTCTAGCAATAAGAGGGTTTTTTCCAAATATTTTGACGATTGGGGGTCCCGCGCCTGAATCGCTTCCCTTCCGGCCTCTGATGCTCCCAAACATTAGATACATCATTCCTATTCTGTATTTCAATTCTACTCGGGCGATTGAGCTTGGTCAGCTTCGCTCCCGGCCTTTTGGTTTACTGAGCAAGCACGTCAACAAACCACTTCATCAGGGACGTTTTACTGGGAAAGTCGGTTTTTCCGAGTGGCACCGCATCCGGATAAGCGATTTGAGTTATCCGACCTAATTTCGCAGCGAGCGCGCTGACTCGCTCGCCCATCATGGGAAACGCTGGATCGAGCCGCGAGAAGAAGGACGCCAAGGCTATCACGAAGAAGAGTGTCCAAGCACAGAAGATTGATCGTGCGCATGCGACTGGCATCTTGTCCTTGAAAGGCTGCAAATTGAAGCAGGTTCCAGTCGATGTGTTCAACATCCCGACCCTGCACACGCTCGATCTGTCCCTGAACGACATCACAGAGCTTCCACCCCGCATCGCGCAATTGACTGCGCTCAAGACGCTCAAAGTAGATGGCAACCAGCTTACACGGCTTCCAGACTTGTCTCCATTGGTCAAACTCAACAATGTACGATCATTCCGCCTTGCGACGAAGGACTCATAACCTGTGCAGTTGGTCGCCGACAATAATGTCATCGCCGTGATCGATGGTCTTCCCATGAGCTTGTCCAAGTTGAGCGTTCGAAACAACAAGCTTACGTCGTTTCCCCGGTGCATTTCGTCCCTCGCTCGCCTCGAAGTGTTGGATGTTGCAATGAACTTGGTTACCGAAGTGCCGGCGGTAGTTGCACAATGCGCACAACTCAAGGAACTCAACGTCGACTACAACCGTCTGCAGTATGTGCCGCCTGCATTAGGCCAGTGCAGCAAGTTGACGACCTTGTTTGCTCGACACAACCAACTTGGACCGCCCCAATCACTCGCCCCTGAGTTTCTGCAGCATTCCTCTGTGAATGTCATGCAGCTGGAAGGCAACCCGATGACTAAGCACGACTTGGAGGCCATGGAAGGCGTGGCAGCCTTCCTCGAACGGCGCAAGATATTGAAGGACAAGGAAATTCACGGTGGGCTCAGCACCGACGTCAGCCTGTGTGGCTTGGATTAAGTAGCACCATGTATATGCTACTGATTGGTTAATAGTTGCAAAATATTAGCGAATCCAACAACGCATATACACATAGAGCAATAGGATTCGTCGAAATGCGAATATAATCAACGAATCAAAGTTGCAAATAGCAAGTTCAGGACCAATCATACTACGCCGATACCATGGAACACACCAAGCACAGTCGCGGCTGAACTGCTCCATCGTCTCACGGCAGCATGGAGGAGTGGACCAAGGCTGCCAGCGTGATCGTTGGGACTCTCATGATGTTTTCCCTCGGGTCGGCCTATGCAATCTCGTCGTGGAATGGTCAGATGAAAGACGCGCTCGAGATGACGCAGAGCGAGATCGCAGCTGTCGCTGCTTGCTTCACATTTGGCCAGTACAACTCCATTTGGGCTGGATTCTTCTACGATCGATTTGGTGTCAGGTGGACATCTTTGGTGTCAGCAGTGATGCTTGCGACGTTCTACTGGTTGGCGGCGTTTCTCAGCGCGACCCCATCGGCTCCGCACTGGGCAATGTCGGCGTGCTTTGTTTTCATTGGCCTCGGTCACGCGTTTCCCGCGGTAGCAGGCATGGCGGCAAATGAAGGCGTCTACGGTCAAATCCATCGAGGCAAGATCATGGGACTACTGGTCAGCAGCTACAGTGGCGGCGGGGCAGTCTTTGCCTACATCTACCACACGTGGTTTGACCACGACGTCGACGCCTACTTCACTTTCATTGGGTCGTCGCTCTCGCTTTTGTGTATCTTTGGCGCTGTGTTTCTCCAAGCCAGGGGTCACCATCATGTCCTCGAGCGAGACGATGAAGCGATGCCTCTTGAGCGAAAGGACGAAGTCGGGCGAGACATCACGCTGTGGCCGTTGGTGCAAACCGCCCAATTCTGGCACTTGTTTGTCGTGGTGCTTGTTGGTGTGGGGTGCCCGCTCTTCGTCATGAACAACCTGAGCTTCCTCGTGGAATCCAACGGCGGCGACGTCACCCACGTCCCGACGCTCGTGTTGCTCTTCTCGCTCTTCAACCTGGTGGGACGGTTTGCAATGGGAGCAATCTCGGATGCGTGGCTGTCGACGGTGCCTCGGAGCTACTTTCTGACTGCCAGTGTCGTGTTGGTGGGGGTGGTCCAGCTGTCGTTCGTCGTGTGCCCTGTCGAGTACATGATGGTTCCAGTGGTGCTGACGGGATTTGGAGAAGGCTGCGTCTTCGGCCTCTTTCCCGTACTGACTCGCGAGTTGTTTGGCCGACGGCACTTTGGCAAGAACTACGGCCTCGTGAGTCTCGCCAACGCGGTGGGGTTTCCTCTCGTGCTGGACCCGCTCTCGTCTGCGCTCTACCGCGTGCAACTCACCCCCGGCACGGAAAAGTGTTTGGGCAGCGGGTGCTTCACTCCCATGTTCTTCGTCACGGCGGGGCTGAGTCTCGTGGCCACGTTTAGCTCGACGCGATTGCATTGAGAACTCCAACGCATCACAAATTCAAGAGTTCATGCACGGGTCGCCGTCGTACTTGTGAGTTGTGCCATGATTTTTGAACAGGTTGTTGTCGTTTCCAAACCGACGCATGGTCCATGTTCGCCCAAGGATGGCTCCTCCCTGCTCGCAAGCAGACATGTTGAAGTAACATCCCGCGTTGTCCGAATGGATGGCTTCCTTGAGTCGTCGACGCTGGAGGGTGGCGTTGTTGAAGTCATGCTGGGTCGACGCACAGTAGCAGCGCCAACGCATGTTGCCTCTGCGTCGACTATTACCATGCCACCGTGAATGAGTACATGACCCCACAACGAGGCCATCCCCATTTGCATTGGAGATGGCAACCCACCGTCCAGTGCTCCAGGTAGATCACTGTCGCTCGTTTTCGTTTCACGCGGCCGCATCGTCGTCTTCATGACAACCCATGTGTCGCGGCCTCTTGATTCGATTCGGCGCTTGCGATGCACTCGAATTTGAGGTGACGTGAATGTTGAAATGACGGCACATCTGACCTGAGCGAGCGCACGGCGCGCCGTGGTCTGGGCGACATGAACAGTCCCAGGGATTCACCGTTCTTGCCGTGCATCGAGTTTTGGACAACGGGCGCGCTGTCCGCCACTGGGTTAGCCTTGTTCAAGGACTGCAAGCACAGCGTTGGTGCTGGTGTACGGCTCCAATACAACATGCCGTTGCAACGACTTCAAACAAATGACTCATGTTGGCCCATGCGCATGAAATATGGCGCTCAAATACGGATGGCAAAGCACGCGCATGAAGCCATTGCTTCCAAACCACTTGCACTTGGACGGTGGTGTGTGGCCATCGCATCCAAAAAAGTTGGTAGGATGTTTGGACGAAGGGAATGCAGACACACTTTGCAGAATGCAACCCGCCCACACAACGCTGGCAAGTCTCACGAGCCTGCAGGTGACGACGGTAATGTAGTCTCGACGAGACTTCCGGGGGCACACAACTTCTCACGGGCAACGTAGCAACGTCGGTTTTGCTGGTTGGGGCTTCAAAGACCGCGCGATGGCCACGATGTGGTGGTGGCAATCTGTGGTCGTTCACCAACGAATGAGCGTGATTGCTCTCTCGGACACTCATGGAGCGATCGTCGGCGACAGTGCTTACGTCCCAAGAGCTGGTGGATGCCGTCGTGGCGTACGACCATGGCGTCCGCTTGGACATGGTTGCTCTCATTAGTGTGGCGCAACCGATCAAGAGTACATTGTTTGCCCCGTTCCATGCGGCCATCCCTCCACGGCACGACCAGTGGCGCCACTCCGGAGTCGTGCAGCAGCTCGCTAGCATGCCGCGCATTCAAAACGGTGTCGTTGCACATGCGCTGTGGAGCGGAAACCTTCCCCTGTTTACGAGACTACCAGTCGAGTTGTTGTGACCTGCCCCAAGTCGTGTAATGTTCCTGGTGTCCTTGCGAGGCAGACAGACAATGGCGTCGTCAAGTACCTCCACAAAGTCGTGGGCCATGCGCAATTGCAGGTCAACATGACCACCTATTCGTCATCCGATGCCTCATCGACATGAACAATGGCACAAATGTGACGTCGGCAGCCGTCTCTGCTGCCGCCAATGACTATGGTCACGCCCCGATGGACGTCGTGGCATTCTTCGAGTCAGCAATGCGGAATCGAATCGTAGTGAAAAGGTATAATTGTTTCAAAGGGTTTGTCCAAACGGACTCACGTCACTCTTGCAAATGTCTTCGAAACCAGAAGCACATTGCGCAAAGATGTAGGCATCACGCGCCCCAGAGAACGAGGACGATGCTGAAATGAACATGCCATGGGACGTTGCCGCTTGCCATTGCGCGCTAGCAGGAGCAGGGGAGAACGGAGCTCAACGAGACACAAGGACGCACTAGGCCTGGCATCGTGCGTTCAACGATGGACAAGGTGGCCCCCGGTGATGACAACGTTGCCGTTCTTGGACTTGACGCCGCTGTTTCCCTCAAGCAACAGCGTTTCGTCTGTGAGTTTGCACGTTTTGTTGGCGGCAATGGCATCTTTCAGGAGCTTGCACCCGCGGAGGGTAATCTTGTTGTAGCCCAAGTGCAGCGACGTCAGCGTGCTGTTGCGCTCGAGAGCTTGGGCTAGAACAGCAATGACAGCGTCCGACTTCAACCCAGAGCTCGTCTGCACAAGCCATCGTCAACCTTTGCTGGACAAGGCACTGAGTGCATACCAATTCGAGACGTTGGAGCGTCTGGTTGTCGCCAATGGCCTTGCACAGTGCAACGATTCCAGGTGGTTCGAGATTTCCACCGCTCTAACACAACGTGAGCAAAAGGACACCAACGGATATGTTGTTTGACGAACGAGGTCCATAGAGGTGAGCGTGCGATTCGAAATCACAGTGGAGGCAAGGCTTGCACCAGCGACAGGTCCAGAGAAACAACCACTGAAATGAACGGTCGTGAGCGCAGGATGGCCCGACAAACTAGTGGCCATGATCGCCGCCGCCGTGTCCGACAGCGGGTTGGCAGCGTAGTTTAGCACTGTTAGGGAACGATTTTGTGCTAGTGCTTGGGCAACTGCCACGTTGCTGTCGTCGGCAAAGCCATTCATGGACACGTCCAAGTGGGTGAGCACTGTGTTGACTTGGAGGACGAGCGCGAGTCGAAGCGCCGACTGCACGGACAGACCGACTTCGGACAGGCACAACGACCGAAGAGTCGCATTGGCTGGGGCGTCCATGAGCTGTGGAGTGTACGAATGCGTTGGGTTTTTCCGCAGCAAGTCCAACTTGACCTGGTCGTACAGGGAAAGTGGCTCGGCCGCGACAGCGCGAAGGACATCAAGCCCACCTTGGTCTGAGATATCGCGGTTGTGACTCAAGTTGAGCGCCTCGAGAGCAGAGTTTTGCTTGAGCGTGAGCCAGCCGTGCAATCCCGATCCCCCAATGTGATTGTGGGACAGATCCAGTCGACGGAGGTAGTTGTTGGTTGCAAGGCATGCCGCTAATGCGAGCGACCCCTCGGTTGCAATCGCGTTGTAGCTCAGGACGAGCTCCTCCAGCGCGCCATTCGAGCTCAATGCGGTTGCTATAAGGACTGCGCTGGCGTCGTGCAGGGCATTGCCACTGAGGTTGAGCGACCGGATGAAGTACTACACCATGCAGAGCGATGTTTGAGAGCCTGGAAATCGTTGGTCGATATGTGCTTGCGTACATTCGAGCTAAGGGGTATGGTCACGTAAGGGACGTCTTGCGCTTGCAAAAAGCAACCGCAGAGATCGATGGCATCGCGCTTGCCTCCTCGTGGCGTCGGACGCGGCGTAAAGACCGTCGAGTTCTCCATATCGGTCGTATCGCACCCGTCATTGTCCTTGTCACCAACCGACGGGGGGAATGCCACCGTCGTCATCATGCGCGCCTGTCCCTGACCAAGTAGTTCAGTTCACTTTGGATTCAACGAACTCGAGACTTACGTCATCGTTGGCTGCAATATACCTGCCCTATCACGGTTGGCACACTCCGAGTTATAAAACATCACGGCCATCGTCTCTGTCATCAAAGCACCCTCTACAAACCTGAAGGAATGCCTGGCCACACTCGTGCTTGCCCACCACCACACCATCCACACTCCGCAAACAATTGAACTCGACCTAGATGATCCACCAGCTCGTCGGGCTCTTGGGCAGTCAAGCATGCAAGTGACGTACGTCTCCAAAGGCGGCAACGACCACATCGTCGACCTCAAGCGACGTCGTCCATTGCTTGGCATGGGGGTCTCGATACACCACGTCTCTATACTCGAGTACTTCGACGGCTTCCCGAATGACTACGACAAAATATTCGCGTCAGCGCCGCGCCGTCAAGGATGTGCACGTCACCATCGCGCAACGACGCCCGCACAGTTTGCATCGGCCATGAAGTGCTCTGGTCAATGAACACTCGCGCCGTTTCGAATTGTCCGCATATCGTATCCGAAAAACCAACGATTTGACTGTGGAAAGGATCTTCCGCCATGCGAGTGCTTTGGACTTCGAAGGCGGAGGGAGATGACAGTGTTTTCGCTCGCATCAAGCTGAGCGAGTTGATAGTCCATTCTAACTTGATGTCAGCACAACGACCGTCATGAACAGCAACGAGAAGCTACAATCACTTCGCTCGGCTCGCTCAGTGGGAAATGTTGCAACTAGCGGGTGGTTCATAGGATAGCGATGGCTTGAAATTGTGCGCGGCGAGCTTGGCGTGGCTGGCACAACTCAGAGCAAAGACGATGCGGTCGAGAGCAACCAACTGTATGAAGGGTATAAAGTGCGCGGGGCTTCGTACGACCGAAAACCCCGCATCCCTGATACCTCACGGTCAACATGGACGAGCAAAGCCTGCCGAAATGCACTCACAATCAACGGCGATTGCGCCTGAAGCGAGAGCACTAGAATACGATATCATGCCTTCGCACCAATATACCACCCATTAACGGATAAACACTTATCCGGATACCTTTCTTTACCCAATCACAGGCGCTGATTCGTGCCAGTGGAATGACTGGTGTGCATTTGCCATTGTCAGGAAGGAATGAAACCAAAGAATACAACTAAAACTTCATCATCGAATCGAGTAAAGCTAAAACCCATATGCCAGGTCGCTTCGCCATGTTTGTAAAGACGCGAATGTGTATACAGCTTGACCCGTACGTGCGGCCGTCACAGACAGCGCATCTTGGACGCAGCACAAACCATCACGTTCGTGCGGGACGTTGTTATGGAGGCATTCGCGAGAATGAGTCCCAATCGTGCATGCGCAGGAGAATATTCCTCTCGCCGGCAAGTGCAGCATGTAGACCGTCGCCCTGCTTCCAATGGTGCAAAAAAGCCACATTGTGACCCTGTTGCCTTCGCCTCGCTCGGCTCTTCGTGTCTTGAACAAACGTGTTGCTCGTCTTAGGCGCAAGGAGAACAGCGGCAAGCGTGTGCAAGCGACTTAGTCCAAGAAGGCGAAAACAAAAGTGATTAATGGAGGTATGTCTGCTGCTTGTCCTCCTATCCTTCTCTGTGTTCAATGTCTGCCGTCCCTTGGTTCAATGTCGTTTGCATTGAACCCTTCGTCTCTTCGTCAGGCAGGGTTGATTCGAGTCAACCGTCACGCTGCTGACGTCGCCGAATCTCAACACTCCCCTAACCCTGATGACGCGGTGTACTTGACCGTTGGTTTGGTTGTTTTTTGTCGTGGTTGGCCATCAGTCCTTGCGGCGGGAGGTTTGGCGACGATGTTGATTCTTGGGAACGAGCTACCATCGTCCAGCGTACAAACTTTTGGATCGCATGTTTCGTTGCGGTCTTGGTAAGGGCGTCGGCCAACATGTCTGCCGTTGGGACGAAGTGGAGCACGAGAACACCACCACGGACTAGCTCCCGGAGGTAGTGGTGCCGCACGTCGATATGTTTAGTCCGTTCACTGATTGCCGTAGTGTTGGCGGTGGCGATTGCCGACTTGTTGTCGCAGTTCAGGGTCAAACATTCCTGCTCAGACCCCAGGTCACGCATCAGACCATGGAGCCAAACGGATTCGCGAGCAGCCTCGGCCGCGGCAATGTATTCGGCCTCACAGCTGGAGAGCGCTGTGATGCGCTGGCGTACACTTTTCCACATGATCATGCCGCCAAGATACAGCCAGCAGAAGCCTGTGGTGGATCGTCGGTCGGGTCGCGTCGCCCAGCTAGCGTCGCTAAAGCCGGTAAGAATTGCCTCACCAGTGCCAAATTGGATCCCATGTTGCTTTGTTCCAGCCAGGTATCGCAGAACACGCTTTGCACCGACAAGGTGCGGTGCCCTAGGGGCGTGGAGGTGGCACGACAGTCGTTGGACAGCGTGCGCGATGTCTGGTCTCGTGCAGATCATGAGGTACACCAGTGATCCAATCATTGCACGATA